GGTGTGAGCAGGGACCTCACGGGGGAGGATGTTACAGTGTGAGTGAGGACCTCATGGGAGGACGTTATGGTGTGAATGGGACCTCATGTGGGAGATGTTACGGTGTGAGCAGGAACCTCACGGGGGAGGATGTTACGGTGTGAGCAGGGACCTCACGGGGGAGGATGTTACGGTGGAGCAGGGACCTCACGGGGGAAGATATGATGGTGTGAGCGGGGACCTCACGGGGGAAGATATGATGGTGTGAGCGGGGACCTCACAGTGGAGAATGTTACAGTGTGAGCAGCGACCCTCACTGGGATAATATTTTACTGCATGATCTGGGTCAGCTCTGGGAGAGGACAGTTGTTTTGATTTATACTGTCCTTTTGGAACCAACTCAGCTAGCATTCCAGTGGTTTTTCTAGAGCCAGTGCATTGCGTGGGAAGAGATTGCCCTTCTGTCCTGCAGAGCAGGTAGCTCTTGGATTTGAACCATGTGTCTTCAGGTTTGCAGTGCAGTGTCTTTCCACTAAGCCAAGAGAGCCTACACTGGACTTCACTGGGAGACCTTACCGTGGTTAGTAAACCCTCTATAGTGAGTACTCAAGTGTCTTGTTCTGTTGACTGAGATCCTACAAGGAGCATCCCCCCAGCAAACCCCTCTAGTTTGTTTCTGGATCAGCTTCTTTCAAGGTTGGTGGTCTTTCTCCAGGATGTTGTCATTCTTGGAGAGAGACCTCCCCCCAGGAAAAGTGGATGAGCCTGTGCTGTGGGCATAAGTGGCCAGGCTACCTGGGCTGTGCCACCATACCAGTGCCGAGGCCAAGCCCATGTGCTGCTGTATGGCCAGGGATCAGCAAGGAGGTGGAAAACCACCGTGCTTGCTTTTGGAGTGTCCTCTGGAGCCTCACCTGTGCATCATGGGGCCTCGAGGTTAGGCGATGGGCTGTGGTTCCAGCAGCGTCGCAGCTGGGAGCATGTCACTGTGACGGCGGCTGGAAGGACAGCATTAGAGAATGATGCAGTGGACAGAGCCCCTTGTGGGCATTTGTGGTTCTGGCTTTCTGCCCGCAACAGTCTCCACCTTGTAATCTTGTTATGCGTGGAGACCAGGGGCCTTTGCATTTTTTTGCAGCCTCAGCCCCTGGGCTGACACTTGCTGACACGTCCCCACATCACATTGCAGGTACCAGGTCCTCTTCATGGAGTGACCTGGTAGTGTGAGTGGTCCTTCTTGGACTGTGGTTTCATTCAGCCTCAGAAGAATGGATTCTAGTCCTTCCTGGCATTGTGGGTTAAGTGCTGGACTGCTAACAGGAAGGTCAGTGGTTCGCATCCACTTTTGGTGCTCAAGCAGACACTGTAGATGCTGTCATTTAACAAAGAACAGACATTGTCTTGCATGCCCTGTGTCCCGTGGATGGGCTGCCCAGCTGCTCTCGGCATTGCACTTGACCAGCCTGGAGCTGACTGACCCCACAGCAGGGACAGCATGAATGTGCTGGTGACGGTGGGGCATGGAGCTCTTTCTGTGTTGTGTGGAGGTGGTGAGGGGCACATCCACTGGTCAGACTGGCCTGAGTACACATCTGCTGGACTTCTGCAGCAGCTCACGGCTTTTCATCTCAAACCCAAAGCCAGTATCTGCCTGCGGCACAGTGCTTGCCCACAGGGAAAGGACTTCATTACATGGCTTTAGGGGATTTTTTAAATTTGCATATAATCATTTGTATACATCATGTTTTATAAATGAACTTTGTGTTTTATACAATCATTCATATATGGTATATTTTATAGAATTAATTACTGTTGCTCTGTGGCAATTATCACCCCCATTTTTTTAAATCCCTATTGAATGTGCCATGGACTGGTAAGAAAACAAAACAGGTTCAACCTGAAGAGGCTTAAACCAGGCTGCTCCTTGGAGGCAAGGATTCTGAGGCTTCGTCTGACATACTTTGGACATGTTGGAAGGAGGGATCAGTCTTTGGAGAGGGACGTCATGCTTGGGAGGG